GCCAGTATCACTCAGAGCTCAGGTTGTAGGGAAGAAACGACGCATGGGTAAGTCACAGCTGCGTGGCGCTCACTGGATAGTGCCTGTTGATGTACCCACATGCCTTCCAGACTGTGATGAGCTTCACTAGAGATACGCACCCTTCTCTGTGCAAACAGACCTGCTCGGTGTTGCAGAGCTTTGGAGCATCGCTCTGGGGTGCCTTTGCATAACTAACAAAGGTTCAGCTAATGTCTTCTGGACTCCCTGGCTGGGATTCAGCCCTGCTCTGCAGACCTTGGCTTCTAACACTAATGCAGCAGCTTTACTTGGGCAAAACTGGGTTCTTGCTGTGCGGTATGGATGAGAATTGTACAGCTGGGCAGGGCTTGGCCTGTCATTTTAATACTGCACTTTGTACTCTTCATGGTTTTAATGTTGTTTGTGCAGCAGGCTTGGTCCTGAGATCATGTGAAATTGTTTTGGGGCATGGAGGGTGGGAATGCTCTGCTTCCTGGGAAGGGAAGAGTGTTTTTAAAGTTGTCACTCCGGATTCAGCTGCCAGCTGGAGAGTGGCACAGCTCTGGCCTTGTTTCAGAGCAGGTGGGCTTGAGTCACTGGGCTGAGTGGGCTTGGGAGGTTTCTGCAGCTCCAGTCCCCAATTCCACCCTGCCCAGGTTTTCCAGGTCCTGGCAGCCCCAAGGAGAGGAGTGGCTCCCTTTGAGGGCACATGGGACTGTAGCACTTGGAATAACTCAACCTCCATCATCCACACTGTAACCTCCAAGCTCACAACAGCATGGTTCTGCTGCTGTGCACGCCGTGCACCACCTCCCGGGGCCGGCTTCACAGCCAAGTGTAATCAGATGGAGACTCTCACCTTGGTTTTTCTGCAAACTGCCTCTCTGGAGCAGGTCCTGAGCACTGAACGCAGCTCAAGCCTGGGCTCTCCTTGCAGCTCCCATCTTGGCCGTCTCAACCCCTGTCTGCTTCTCTGACTTGTGTGCCCTCAGCAGAGCTTTCCCTCAGCTGATGCCCGTCCTCTGCCCACAGCCACCCTTCCTGTGGGTGTCACGACATGTTTTCCAGCACTGAACTTCACCTTTGTTGTGCTGCCCATTTGCCGGTGGTGAGTGCTGGTGGTCTGTCTCTGCTGTCCCGCTGTCTGGGACAGTGACCTTGTGATGCTTTGGGAGGCAAGTCCCTCCCAGCAGCTGGCTGTCACCGCCCGTGTCCCCACTTCCCCTTGGGGAGGCATGCGAGAAGTGCTTCTGGCCCAGGTGGCAGCTGCCTCACTTGGTTTCCCCGTGGGAAAGATGGCCCCGATCCTTGTGCTTGGGTCACTCTTTGGCTGGAGTGGTTTTGTTTTCCCCTCGCAGCCTGCTAGAAAGGCATTTCTTTCAAATTCTAGAGGCTTGGCAGGACCATGGGCATGGTAGGCTGGTTGCCCACTGCAGAATTAAGCTTTGTGTGCCCTGACCACAGGCAGCAACGTTGTGTGAGCCTGGGCAGCAGCGAGGGCAGCCGAAAGCTTCTGATCTCACTGGCAGCAAGCTCTTGTCCTTCCCAGCTGAAGAGAACTCCTTCCCCTGCAGACACAAGGAAACCGGCCGGTGCGGCGGAGCTGGCGAGGCAGCCTCCTCCCCCACCGCAGCCCGGTCTCCTCATTCTGATGCACCCTCAGGAAGCCGCAGCTTCCTCGGGAGAATCTACTGCGTGGGGAGGGGAAGGCCGGCAGTACCCAGCCCCAGGGAGTGCTGGAAGATCCCCTGCGAGGCGGGGGACAGCTGCACATCTGCAGCCCACAGCCCTTCATGGCAGTGGCTGTAACAGAAATCTGTTCTGGCCCGTGATCAGACAACATCTTATGAGTGGAAGGGGAGAAAAAAAAGCAGAGAACTGGAAGTGCTCTGGATAGTCAAAGGGGTTTGTGCCTGGGCTGCCAGGCTTCAGAGAGGGGTAGGAGGAATCAGCAGGGAAGCCGAGCTCCAGAGAGCAGTAGGAGTTGACGTACAAGCAAGTGGCTGTCCCATGGAGTGGGGGCATCTAATTGCTGTGTGCAGCATTAACAGGACATCTGTGGAAATGCTGCCCTCCATTTTGATGCTGCTGCTTCCAGCAGGGCCTTTGGGAATACGAGTGGTTTGTAAGAGTCATCAGAGCAACTCTTGGCCTGGATGATCTGCCTCGAAATAAGCTCGGTGTGTTCCTCATGTTCCAAGGAAAGTTGTGTGTCTGGAGTAGTCGGTCGATCTCCTGGGGAGAGGTTTGAGAAGAGAGCCTCCAGGCAAGTAGGAGACACCAAGATCCCTTGCTAGAAACAGGAGGGGCAGGCTGTACAGAACAGCAAGTCAAACCTCATTCAGGGAAGAGGATCTTCCGTAGGGGAACTTGTCCCCATTGGGTGCATTTCACTCTCCTGGGAGTCTCAGGCTAGTGGGACCTGTAAGCCCCCAGCTGACAAGTCACAAGCCTCTCCACTGCCGCCTGTGCCTGGGGCAGTGGGCTGTGACTGCTCCTTGGGGGTTGGCAGTGAGTAGTCTTCTCCACATTTGCAGAGCGGGACTACCACAGCCTATGTGAGAAGCAGCCCATTGGGCACATGCTCTTTCGGCAGTTCTGCGAGACACGACCTGAGCTGTCACGCTGCGTCAAGTTCCTGGATGCCGTGGTAAGAGCAAAGCCCATTGGGCTTCGATGGGGGAGGCAGGGATGTTCTTGGCGCCCTGGGTATGGACCAGTTGGCCCTGGGTGCTCCGGCAGCTGCCAGGTACTTCTGGACACATAGGGTTTTCCTGAAGAGTTGCAGTTTCTCCAAGATAAGGCTGGGCCTTTGCTTAGGGAGCTGTTTGCTGGTGATCTGGTTTTCCAGGAAAGCATGGGAAACCTTGGGCAGAGGGTGTTGCTGCTCTGCTGCTGTTGCCCGGTAGCAAGGCTCGGTTCCTGGCTAGACCTGCTCCTCATGCTGTTTGCTCTGTGCAGGCAGGGTACGAAGTGGCTCCAGATGAGAAGCGGAAGGAATGTGGGCAGCACCTGATTGAAAAGTACTTGAAGCCAAACGTGAGTAAGAGGGTTGTGTTTCCTGCCTGCAATGGTAGAGCAGTTGGAAAGCTGACAGCTGTCATTACCCATGTCCTGCCACAATGAACGTGCTGGGCAGGATGGTGAGGGCAGAATACAGAGCCACCCCGCTACCTCACAAGCGACCATTGCTGCTTTTCCCACTGGCTGTAAAGCAGTAACAGCCTGTGTGCTGTTACTGTGGGCTCCTCCTTCCTGGGAGGATCCTTGTGCTCTGCTCCCTATGTCTGACTCCATCCCTTTGTCCCCAGAGTGAGGACCATGTGCCTGAAGTCCCCTCGCAGCTGGTGGATGCCTGTTGTGAGAGGCTGGAGCAGGAACCTTCCAAGGAGCTCTTCAAGGAATCCACGAAGTAAGTTGGAGGGCTGGGGCCTGCCTGCAGGTCGCACCATGGCATGGGGTAGATGCTGCAGCTAACTCACCTTGTCTTCACGGTCCCTTCCTCCAGGAGAGTGAGGGCTGGTGCTAAGGCTGGGGCCTGGGGAGTTTTGGGCTAGCAGTTTGCAGCACAGCTACAGGAAAGCAAATGCAGGGAGCTCCTGTGGGCTCTGGGAGCCACAGGCTGCTGCAGAAGCCTCTGTCGCTCTTCTCAGTCTGCCATGGGTCTGAGTTGCCATTTGGGAAGACCCCGTTTCAGCGAGCCTCACCATCTGGCCATGCTGTTCTTAGTCTTGTGCCAGGATCTCGTAGGCACCCGTAGAGCAGAGCTGAGAGCTGCAGTGCTGGTGCCAGCTGTCCTCTCCCGCTGGCCGCAGATGTGGCCGTTGTGGTTAGTTACACTGGCTGTTGCTGCAGGGATCTAAGGTCACTTCTGTTCCCATCACAGAAGCAGTGGCTGAGGTCCTGGCTCCGGGTGCGAAGCGGAAGCTGTTAGGCAAACCGGGCTTACAGCCTCCACCCCTCCCTGAACAGCAGCTGGAGCACGTTGCCTAATCGAGTGCAGGGCTGTGGCAATGGGTTTGCTGCAGTCTTCTGGGGAGCGTTAGCTCTGTGTGTGGTAACTAGTGTCACTGTCTGAATGCAGAGCCTCCAGGCTGGGCCCTGCCTGCTCTTGGCAAGCTCTGAAAGGGGAAGAGCCCATCCGCTTCTCCTTGATGCATGTCTCCAGTCTAGACACTATGTCTAAGGCTCTTTACTCCGCTGGGCAGCCCTGGCACTGGTTTCCGAGGCGGTTAGCTCTCTCAAGCAGGATCCCCTGTGGCCTTTTGTGCTGGACATTCATCTGAAACTGAACAACTCAGCGCCTGGTGCTGAACGTTGCTAGCAGCTTTCGGCAGCTGATTACAGCCTTGAGTGTGCATTTGCCCTGTGAGCAGAGAGGCAATTGCAGAGAGTCCCATCGTCCCTCTTTGTCCCGCAGCCCGGGCTGGTGCTGAGAGTCCACAATTAGCAGGGCTAGCCCCATCCCAGGGTGCTGTGTTCATCACAGCGGTACCTCCAACGTTTCTTTTGCATCAGGCTTAGCGCGGAGGGTGGGCTTTTTGGGCCAGGGCTGCACGGGGTACGTGGGTGATTCAGCATCAGGCTGGGTGAGGGGATGGCAAAGTAAACGGGTGCTCGGGGCTGCTCACCTCCTCTTTCCTTGGACTGCCAGCCTTTTCCATGGCTGTGAGCAGCTCTCAGGAACCTTGCTGGCTCTGCTCTCTCCTAGGCTTATCCACGACTACCTGAGTGTGGCTCCCTTTGCCGACTACCTCGACAGCTTGTACTTCAACCGCTTCCTGCAGTGGAAATGGCTGGAACGGTAACACTCCCCGGCATCACTGGGAGACCTGTGCCCCGCTCGCATGGGCTGCCTGAGAGGTCCCTCAGGCTCCTTCCTGTGCTGGGCCCTGGCAGGAGCCAAGGGCCTGGTCTTGCTCTCCTTCAGGGCCCTTTATTGGCACCATCAGCAGCCCCAGCCTTGCTTGCCTTGCAGGGAAGCAAGGTCTGCTTGAGCAGGGGTTTTGGGGTGGGCCACAGTCTGTCAGGCCAGGGCATGGAAGTGGTTTGGGCTTCAGCCCCTGCTCTGTCCCTGCTCCCATCTCACTCCAGTTTCCTTTCTCTCACAGGCAGCCAGTGACCAAAAACACTTTCCGCCAGTACCGTGTGCTGGGCAAGGGCGGTTTTGGGGAGGTGAGTGACCAGCATTTCCTCTGCATTTGGGGTACCAGGCAGCCACCGTTGCCTGCTCTACCAGCAGGGCCTGGGTTGGCCGTCAGGGTGCCACAAGCTGCTCCAGCACCTGGAGGCAGGTGCTGCTGGCTCGGGGGGCTGTGGGGGCCCTGCGCTGGGCACTGCTGTGCTCTGGGCATTGCGTGATCTGTCAGTTCCCCCCGAGGGGCAGGAGCTCCCCTCTCGCCAAGCACTGGAGGTGTGGAAGGTGTTGCACAGGGTAGGTAGCACATGCCCTGTGGTGCATACTGCTGCCTGGGCAGAGAGTCAGGTTTGTTCCCAGTGTCTTGGCAGGGGAAACTGCACTCCTGAAAACTGTCACTGTCAGTCTTCCTTCTGTTTCTGGAGTGGCCTTCTGTCTTCCCAGGCACCAGCCGTGGTGCTGCTACAGGTGACAGGGGCATCGCAGCACTCTGCTGCTTATCTGTGACATCTGGAGATGTCGCTGCTCCCTGTGTACTTGCTTTGACAATGGGCTTCTCGCTAACCTGAGTGAGGCAGGGACAGGGACATCTTTGCCTTCCTGTGCCTCTTCCTGAGAGCAGAACCTAGACCCCCACGCTGGAGATGGCAGCGGGAGGGTGCTGAGCCTTGTTCCCCCTCCAGGTTTGTGCCTGCCAAGTGCGTGCCACGGGGAAGATGTATGCCTGCAAGAAGCTGGAGAAGAAACGGATCAAAAAGCGGAAAGGAGAGGCCATGGCCCTGAATGAGAAACAGATCCTGGAAAAAGTGAACAGTAGGTTTGTAGTAAGTACATAGGAATTGCTCTCACTTCGCTGCGGTGGTTGATTCTTCCTCCAACCAGCCGGCCCGGCACCTCTGTGCTCCTCACCCCGCGTGGAGAGGCAGGAGCAGGCCCTGCCCATGGGGTAGGGTTCTGGCAGCTGCAGATCTCTCACAAGGCTGGGGTCTGGCAGGACCTCCTAGTGCCTCCACAAAATGCTGTAAATGCCCCCAAAGTGAGGCCCAAACACCCATGTGGTCTCACAGGCACCTTCTTAACCTCTGGGGCACAAGAAAGCAGCGAGAACTGTCTCTCCAGACAGCCAAGTGGGCAGAAGCCCAGCCCTGAGCTGTGTGGTGGGGAGCTCTCTCCCTGGCTGCACTGAGGTGTGGACAGCCTGAAACCTCTTTTTACGGAGGATTCATCAGACGCTTCCCTGGGGTTGCTGTTGGGTTCTGTTTGCCCCCGGAGGGGAGCAGTTCTGGCTCAGAAAAATAGTGTCCTCCCTGTCTGAGGAAAGCTGGGGGTATGCTGGGGCTGCTGGGCACTTCCACGTCCTCCCTGGGTTTGCACAGTTCCCCCTCTGCCTCCTCTACTGGCAAAGGCCCAGTCCTGCTGCCCATGAGTGGCTGCTTGGGTGACAAAGTGTCCGTCAGAGCGTGGGCACCTCCCTCTTCCAGCTGTGTCTTCTAACAGCCTTTCTGCCCTGAATTGCAGGTGAGCTTAGCCTATGCATATGAAACTAAAGATGCTCTCTGCCTAGTGCTGACCCTCATGAATGGAGGGGACCTCAAGTTCCATATCTACCACATGGGAGAGGCTGGCTTCGAGGAGCCCCGCGCAGCTTTCTATGCTGCTGAGATCTGCTGTGGCCTCGAGGACTTGCACCAGGAGAGGATAGTGTACAGGTGCGCGCTGCCTGGCCCCTGCTGGGAGATCTTGTATGGGCTGCAGAAGCAAGCGGGTTCCCGCTGCTCTTACTAGCCCAGCTGGGTCTGCCTGCTCAAGAAAATAAGCTCAGGCTTGAAAGCAGCACAGAGCTGGGTGAGAGGGGATCAGGAACAGAAAGCTGATCTCGTGGGAGAGACGGGAGAGCTTAGCTCGGCTTCCTCGTGCTGGTAAATGATCACCAAGAACAGGATGTGATCATGCTGTGAACGCCTCGGGGCAGGCACTTGGGTGCTTAACTCCCCGGGCAGTATTGACACTAGAACAAAGGAGGGTAGGCTGCCCTGATACGCTCAAAATTGAGAGCTGGGCAGGAGGAAGAACAAGCTGATTGTATGACTGTACTCACCAGGTTGTGTGATGCAGCGTTAGGGATAGCATGGCTAAACATGGGGCCGGAAAGTCCCTTCTGGTCATACCCTATGCCTTGCCCTGGGGCAGGACAAGCAGAAGAAGCCTCTGCTCCTTCTCTCTTGCACGGCCTGCCCCATAGTGAGTTCTGCACCTGCAAAGAGGGAATCAGCCACAGGCTTACTGCTTCCTTGCAGAGGGTTGAAGGTTGTCATGTTCTGCCTCTGCCCGGGAGGGGAGAGCTTGCAGGGCTAACTCCAGAGCAGGGGTGAGGGGAAGATTATCTGTGTGCCTGAGGCAGGGGCATTGCATCCCTCTGCTGCTTATCTGACTTCTTGAGATGTCGCTGTTACTTGTGTCCTTTGCTTTGACAACAGGCTTCTTGCTAATCAAGTCCCTTCCTTCCTAGGGACCTGAAGCCAGAGAACATATTGTTGGATGACCACGGTGAGTGCAGGGTCAAGAGGAGCCCTGGGCCTGAGTCCTTCCCTCTTCCTCTGCTTGAACCAGGGTTGCTCTGTGTTCTTGTCTGCTTCAAACATTGCCCCTTGACCTTGTCCTGTTAACTTGCCGCCTCCTCCATGCAGGTCACATCCGTATCTCAGACCTGGGGCTAGCTGTGCACGTGCCGGAGGGCCAAACAATCAAGGGCCGGGTGGGAACAGTTGGCTACATGGGTAAGTGGCCCCGGTTTAATCAAAAAGTGGACTCTGACTGCACACGCGCTCTCCCTGCGCTCACACGTCCCTCACCCCTGCTCCTGTGTAGCTCCAGAGGTGGTGAAGAATGAGCGCTACACGTTCAGCCCAGACTGGTGGGCTCTGGGCTGCCTGGTGTATGAGATGATCGAGGGACAGTCCCCCTTCCAGCAGCGTAAGAAGAAGATCAAGCGGGAGGAGGTGGAGCGGTTGGTGAAAGAAGTGCAGGAGGAGTACTCAGAGAAGTTCTCGCCTTGTGCCCGCTCCCTCTGCACTATGGTACGAGCGTGCGTCCCTGTCCCTTCGCTCCCACAGCCTTTTTGCACACAGCAGGAGAACATCGAGGCTGCTCCCTGTAGAGGTGCTGGTGGCAGCCAGGTTCCCTTGTCTCTGATAAGGCAGCACAGGGGGGTCCAGAGTGTCTTATTTCCTCACTCTCCCAGCTGCCCAGCGGGCCCGTGCCATCCCTAGAGACATACTGCAGGAGCCTGGCCAACCTCAGGGCTGCCCCCGCCCGAAGCACGCTCTGCCTGGGGCACTGATTTCCTTTGTGTTGCAGCTCCTGTGCAAAGACCCTCTGGAGCGCCTGGGGTGCCGAGGAGCTGGGGCCAAGGAAGTGAAGGAGCATCCTCTCTTCAAGCATCTCAACTTCAGGAGGCTGGAAGCAGGCATGCTGGACCCCCCCTTCAAGCCAGATGTAAGTGCCTGTCCGTGTTCTGACCTCATCAGTCACTGGTGCTGTCAAGAGAAGCAGGAGCCCTGGGGTGGCTCACCTGAGGAAATGGCACCAATCCCCTTCCCTCTTGTTTCTGGAGCCTGGCAGAACAGGGGTCAAGCAAGCTCTGGGCTGCAAGGAGAGGGGGCCTAGGCTTGGCCACAAGCTACGGTTGTTTGAGGTGGTGGTATCTTCATGCAGCCTGGCATTAGAGCATTCTTTGTGCTGTTTAGCCCCAGGCCATCTACTGCAAGGATGTTCTGGACATCGAGCAGTTCTCCACAGTGAAAGGGGTGGAGCTGGAGCCCACGGACAATGACTTCTATGAGAAGTTTGCTACCGGAAGCGTGCCCATTCCTTGGCAGAATGAGGTAGGTTTGCAGGACAGGTCTTTGCTCCTGCTTGTGCCCACCATGGCAGAGTGCAGTGTCCTGCAGAGTTCATGCTGTGCCGGCTGCTCTTGCACTCTGCTGGGCCCTTGGTGACAGGCTTTGTGTGGTAGTCACTGCAGCCATCTGTGCCCTCTTCCAGATGATCGAGACAGAGTGTTTTAAGGAGCTGAATGTCTTCAGGACAGACGGCACGGTGCCTCCAGACTTGGACTGGAAAGGGCAGCCTTCTCCACAGCCCAAAAAAGGGTTACTCCAGCGCTTATTCAGCAGACAGGTAAGAGTGTTTGCCCAGCGTTTCCTCCACAGCAAGTCCTCTAGCCGGAATGAGCCCGCTCCTGCCTGTGCCAGGCAGATCTGGCAGGGAGGTGGTCATGAGAGGGCAGCAGGCAGTCTTCCCCTGTGCTGGGTGGTCAGACCCTAGGGCTGTCAGGGGGACCCACGCAAGGCTGCAGGGAGCCAGCCCTCGCCTGGCTGCCACTCCCCATGCTGGGGGAGTCGAGGGGGCTGGGATGGAGTGTCCTGGCTAAATGTGCTGCAGTCACACAGGCAGAGGGATGTTGTTGAAGGCACTAAAATAGCAAGTCTGCTCCCTTCCTACATGAATAATACCATCCCTGAAGAAGACCTTGCTCTTGGAATGGGCTCCTGGGCTCCCCAGAGCATTTCTGCCAGACCTTGAGCAGGCAGAGAGAGCAGAGCTTTCGAGGGATGAGGAGGACGGAAACATCTTGCAGCTGTTATGGGCTTGCTTGCCTGCCTGTCTCCTCTGCCCAGAACAGTCTTTGCCTTCTTTCCAGGACTGGCAAAGTCTGGGGAGCTGCCTCTCGACAGCTGCTTGCAGCTGTGGGACTCAAGCGCGGTTGGCTCTGGACCCACTCTCAGCCACCTGGTGCTGACTCCTGCTTCCCCGACGAGCTCTGAGTTGTGCTTCACTGTTCAGTGGGCTGCCCCAGCCAGAGCCGGCTCTGGGCTGAGATACCCAGCCCTTCCTGAGGCAGGCAGGACCTGCTGGAGGATGGGCAGGTGCCTGTGGCAGGGGTTGAGCTGTGATTTGCCGCGTGTTTTCTCTTTCCAGAGGTGAGCAGTCTCTCCTGGCTGCTCTGCTCAGGGAAATACCTGGTGGCCCGCGGACATGGCAAGATCTGGGAAAGAGGAGTGTTGTCCTTCAGTGCCTAACCCCTTCCCCCAGCAGAGCACAAGCTGCTTGTTGTTCTAACTGCCCTCTGAGCCACTAATCCCGCTTCCCTGCTCTCGCTGCCTTCATGGGGGAAGCCTTGCCCTCAGCTTCAGCCAGAGCTGCCCCTTGCACCGCCGCTGCTGGGAGCTCCGCTCCCAGGGGGCTGTGGGAAGTTCCCTTCACTCCTCTCTTTGGATGTCCAGGACACACAGAAGGGTTGAGAAACCATCAAGTGTTTGGCATTGCCCCATGCTCAGAATCCTTCCCATTCCAGCAAAAAGGTTCAGCTGCTTCTGCGGCCGGCTGAGCCCTGAGCGGGGCAGATCATCTCTGCTGGCACTGAGCTGTCTGCCTGGGTGGCTGTATAGTCCACGGAGCCCATCTTCTTCCCAGCTTCTGAGCTAGTCAGCTGCGTGCTCACCAGTCTGTCTGCCAGGAGCTGAACCCCCAGATGCAGCTTGATTGTTTCTCTGCAGACTGGGGGTCCCCTCCAGCCCCTTGCCTCCATGTAGCTCTCCCACACACAGGCCGGGGGGGGCCTGACCCTTCCCTGCCAGAGGGCAGCTGTATAGGCTGGGTTGTGTGACCGTGTTCACCCTCTGCTTGCTGTGCTCCTCTCTCTCCCTCCTCCTTCTCCTTGCCCTTCTGACTTCAGGACTGTTGTGGAAACTGCAGTGACAGCGAGGAAGAGCCCACCCGGCTGTAGAGCACAGCTTGTTCTCCAGCCCCGGGACCCCCTTACCTCTCCAGGTGCCCAGCAGAACAACAGCCCAGCCTGAAGGACAAAGGTAGAGGCGGCCCCGCAAGGTGGATTTGTTTACAGCTTTACACGTCTGTATTTTAAGACTGTGAGGATGGCTCCAGGGCTGGAAGCAGCACGCGGCTCGGGCCAAGGCGCCTTTGGCCATGGGCAAGCCCTCATCCCCAAGACAGACCTGGACGCTTCTGAATCTGCCGCTTGGGATTGTGCTGTTGCTGCCCGCCGGCTGTGGCTCCCCTCCCAGGGTGGGAGGGAGGGATTGCGCCAGCGTGGGCCGAGGCCAGGCTGGAGCAGCTCTGCTGACACATTCCACAGTGCCGAAGCGGCACTGCAGGTTTGGTGTGTATTTATATATGTCGGTCTGTACATATCACATGTCGGTTTTTAATCTATAGGTGGGGGCCTGCACTGCCCCCACCCTGTCACAGGCACAAGTGTCCTCCTATGGGGGGAGTGACGGTCCCAGCTTTGTTCCAGGGAGTCCTGGGCAGAGGCCTTCTGTGCCTTCAGGTGTCTAAAGCCTCTTTCCTGGACCTTTCTGGCCGTGCTGAGGCATCCCTGGCTCCAGCGGAGTCCATTGCTCAGCCCCGAGGCACAGGAAGCCGCTGTGCCAAAGCGTCTACCATTGCATCCTGGCAGCAGAGCGCCGCTGCCTCATCCCCACTTCCCTGTCTGCCGGAGCCTGCTTCCTCCTGCCTCGTCTCACACATGCTGCCAGCTCCAGGGAGCTGATCCCGGCCCCCTCCAGACCGCCAGCAGGCTGCCTGCGGCACAGCGGGACACAGCCGCTCCCACAGCACCTGCTCAGGAGGTACCCGCTGCGGGTCCAAAGGGTCGGTCTGATCCCCGGCATGGTGCAGGATGGCGGTCCCACCAGCTCTGGACCAGCCGTCTCTGCGTGCTGGGGGTGCTGCGGTCCGCAGGCCCGGCTCGGTATCGGAGGAGCAGACACGTAAGGGACTCTGCTCTCGGGGAGCAAAGCCGTGGTAAGGGGAATGTCCCTTCCCGGGGTCATGCTGTGAGCTGTGACCCAAGAGTGAGCGGGGCCGGGAGCAGCCCACCCGCTGTACTGGCTTAGTGTGCATCCCCAGGGATCCTGAGGAGCCAGCACAGCTCCTGTGTCTGAGGGCAGGGCAGGACTGGAGGGGCCAGAGCCCTGCGTATCCCTGGGGAGAAGTGTGGGGCTCAGCCCACTTCTCTGTTCTGCTTGTCCTGTCCCCTCTCGTGCACACTTGTCCTAGCTGTGTCCCGAGCAATAACTTGACTCTTCTGTGTGTGTATGTACACACACGCGTGCGTGCTGCTGCCTCATGCTCATTCTGAGCCAGGCCCCCCGGGGGGGCTGAGCACCTACTTGGACCTGTGGTATCATTTGCTTGCCTTGCACTAAAGTTGGAGAGTATTTAAATTTTTAACCTTTTGTTAAGTGTAAGATTTGCCGTGCCTTGTATTGCTGTCGTGTCAAGGGGGACCTGCTCCAGGCCGTACAGCGTTGGTGGCTGTAAGGAGGAGAGGCGCAGGGACCCCAGTTCCTGGGCTGCCACGGGCTCTGCTGGTGCTCCTCTCCTGCAGGGAAGGGCTGGGGCTGCCCTCCAGGGCAAGGGCTGATGCTGCGCCCCAGGGACAGCGGGTGGCCCTTGCTGGCTTCTGCTGGGTGGTTTGGGTCGGTGCGGGGGCGTGACAGGTACAAGGCCTTGTGCCATTGGGGTGCTCGTGTCTGCTGTGGTCCGCTTTGGGGCATATCCCCCTGCTCCCCTGTCTGCCCTCGGCACAGCCCCTCCTGAGCTGTCACGGGTGTGCTGTGGGGCCGGGGGCAGAGTCCTGCTCCCCTCCGGGCACTGTGCATCGCTGCTTCGGGGGGCAACCATGCAGGGGGGGGCCTTGTGCCAGCATGGGGCACTGCTTCCTTAGCCCAAGGGACAGCCCCTCGAAGAGGGGAGACGCTGTGAGCAGGGTTAGGGTCATGACTGCCACGGGGGAGCGTGCCAAGGGGGACAGCCTGGTCAGGGTGGATGCAGGGTGGGTTTGGGGTCCGGGGTCGGTGGCAGGGCCGGCGGCAGCGTCAGCAGCCTCGTGTGCAGCGCCGGGGGGCCGCACACAGCTGCACAGGGATGAGAATAGCAAGTGCGGCTGGGTAGCTAGGGAACAGTTGCTATGGGAGCGGGCCGAGGAGGAGTTCTCACACTCGGAGGGGGCATCTTGGGGTAAAATCCAGTAATTTTCTGCAGCCGTGGAAGGAAGGCAGGCAGGGCGGGGGGATGGGGACTGCCTGGGGATTGTTGCTCCCACTGCACCGGTCAGGGATGCTCATGCCGCCCTGCCGGCACTGCCTGGGCTGCAGCACCCTGGCA